CCTGCTCTATCCCTGTGACCTGAACACCAGCTGCATCCCTGTGACCTGAGCACCAGCTCCACCCCCTGTGCGACCCAATGTAACAGACTGTCTGTAACTCCTGCTGTCATAATGGACTGTACATATGAAGCATGAGCCCAAACCCTTCCTTCCTTAAGTTAACTTTTGTCTGATAGTCTAGCCACAAAACAAGAAAAGTAACTGATACATTGACTGGAAGGTTGAATCCCAGATCCCAGACATGTGACTGTCTGAAAGCATAGAGGTGGGGCTGTGAGACAGGTGTGTGGGTGATCATCCCATCTCAAGGAAGGTGAACTGAAGCTTCGTTATGCCATTGGCTAAGGTGGTGGGCTGAATTTAGCACTGGCAGCATCTGAACTTCTGCTAGGGAAATCATCTAATCATGGAGATTGAGCAGAGTGGTTTCGCCTGCTCAGGATGATGCTGAACTTAATCAAAAGGCATTTATTAAGTACTTAATTGCGCTCAGTGCAGTGCCGGATGCCCAGGCAGAGCACTGCATGCACCTGGCCCCTCCTCCCCAGCCATACATAATATGAAGAAGTGCAGAGACTGGGGGCCGGGGACAGGAAGGAAGCCAGCATTTCATGAGTTCCTCAAGTGTAATAATCTTACGCAAAGAAAGAGATTTCTTTGTCAGTGTGGGAGATTGAAGCCGCTCTCTCTCAAGCTGCAAGGCACACATTAACACGTCAGCCCTCACCCTCCCTTTATAATTTGATTTTATATTTTACAGATAAGAAAGGTGCTGGATTGCAAATCCTAGCTGAGTTTGGTAATTCCAAGGCTCTTCTCTCATCCTGGCTTGCCCTGGGAGAAGGGCAGATTGACAAGAAACATGTACTCAGAATAAAATGATTCCTTGAAACTGTAAGGCATGACTGATGAGATGGCTAGGCCGGGAAAAACACTTGTCCTCCAAGCCGATGACCTGAATGTGATCACTGGAACTTGTGGTGGGAGAAGAAAAACCACTGTAAGTTGTTGTCTGACCTCCACACATCATGGAGCGCGCATACACCCATGCGTTCACACCTCCAATAATTACAAATATGAATAATAGACTATACAATCAGCCAGCACAGTGGCTCATGCCTATAGTCCCAGTGCTTGGGTGACAGACATAAACACTGGAGAACAAGGTTGTCCTCTCAACTGCATAGCAAGTTCAAGGTCAACCTGGACTTCATTGAGACTCCATTTGGAAAAGAAAAGAAATGGAAAGAGAGAACAAGATAAAGAAAGAGAAAAATGCTGTGTCGTGATGCTGCGTGCCAGGCAGGCAGATCTCTTGAGTTTGAGGCCAGCCTGGTCTGCAGAGCAAGTTCCAGGACAGCCAAGGCTACACAGATAAACCCTGTTTCAAAAAAAAAAAAAAAAAAAGCCAGAAATGAAAAGAAAAGCGAGAGGAAGGAAAGAAGGAAGCATACGGAGAACAGAGTGTGTCGCGGACGGTTGTCCCTCAGCCTTTCCTGTTCTTTCACACCGGAGAAGATTCTCAACCTGTCTGAGTGCCCTGCTCTGTTCCTTCCCACTTACTTCTCCCCATTTGCCCGTCTCATAGCTCTGTAACCATTCTTCTGCCTCCCATGCACCCCACCCCCAACCTTCCAGTAGTATCTAATGTCTATAACTTTACCCTCATTTCTCTCTGAGCCCAGCCACTACTGATTGTAAGTTGATGGCTGGGCTGTGTGGTACAAGATGCGCCCTTCAGTCATGAGAACAAGATGCAACCACGATACTCTTAGTGACTGCAGCAAGCAATTATTACTGGGATCAAAGTCAAAAAGAAAAAAGTTAAAAGTTAGCATCTAAGCTGGAGGTGGTGGCCCAGGTCTATAATCTTAGCACTTGGAGATGAAAGTAGGAGGATCAGGAGGTCAAGGTCATCTCTGGTTATATAATGAATTGGAGGCCTGTTGTAAGGAGGCCCCTTGTTTGTTTTCCGGCTGCCCAGACTCCTGAAATAATCACATAGAAACTATTTTATTTAAAATCACTGCTTGGCCCATTAGCCCTAGCTTCTTATTGGCTAGCTTTTACATCTTAATTTAACCAGTTTCCATTATTTTATATTTTACCATGAGGTTTGTGGCCAAATGGAAAGGTTCCAGCTTGTCTGTCTCTGGTGGAGGCTCCGTGGCTTCTCCTTGACTCCGCCTCCTTTTTCCCAGCATTCAGTTTAGTTTTCCCCACCTAACTTTACTCCACCCTATCACAGGCCTAAGACAGTTTCTTTATTAACCAATGGTATTCACAGCATAGAGAGGGGAATTCCACATCAGAGGCCAGCCTTGGCTACACAAGACTCTGCCTCCAAAAGCAAAAGAAAAAAGTCTAACAGCTAAACTACATCTCTGAATTTAAGCTTTCTGATTTTTCAGATGTATTTAAATTTTTATCTTTATTGTTATTTTGTGAGGTTGGGGTACCCAAGGCATGGTCATACATGGGGTCAGAGATAACATTGTGGAGTAGGTTCCCTCCTGCTACCTTTACATGAGTTTTGGGAATTGAACTCAAGTCACCAGGCCAGGCTAGGAAAGCAGGCACCTTTACCTGCTAAACTACTCTATGGTCTAACTTTCCTTATTCTTATTCAATAAAGAAGAAAAGTCAAAGATGCCTGCACTAGGGAGGCAGAGGCAGGTGGATCTCTGTGAGTTTGAGGCCAGCCTGGTCTACAGAGTGAATGGAGGACAGCCAGGAGTACACAGAGAAACCCTGTCTTGAGAACAAGACAAAGCAAAACAAAGGAATAAATGCAAAGGAGAGAGAGATTCTTCAGGAGTGGAGGGATTGGTAAGTGACGATAAGTATGCAATCCTGTAATTTTATAATCCTAAACTCATAGCATCATGCACACATCATACACACACAAAACACACACATAGCACACACATACCACTCATGCACATTACACACATGCCATACACACACATTACACATATACACACAAACCACACACATATATCACATACATCAAGCACACATACATCACACACACATCACACATGCGTATCACAATACACATATCTCTCTCACACCTCTCTCTCTCTCTCTCTCTCTCTCTCTCTCTCTCTCTCTCTCTCTCTCACACACACACACACACACACACACACACTCACACATCCCAGACATGAAACCAGAAATGGGAGTCCTTGGGGAAAGGCAGGGACTCAGTGGGAGGGTAGAGGAGAAGGCATGGGTGCTAAATATGATCAGACTATATTATACACAGGTACGGAAATGAAACCTATCATTACATATAATTAACAGTCGCCAGTAGTAGCTTTTTAAAAAAAGAATAAAGGCCAATTAAAACTGTACAGTAAGCCGGGCGGTGGTGGTTGCACACCTGTAATCCCAGCACTCGGGAGGCAGAGGCAGGCGGATCTCTGTGAGTTCGAGGCCAGCCTGGTCTACAAAGGGAGTTCCAGGACAGGCTCCAAAGCTACAGAGAAACCCTGTCTCGAAAAACCAAAAACAAAACAAACAAAAAAAAACTGTACAGTAATAAGGGAAAATGGTTTGAGGTTTTCAGGGTTGTTCCTTTCCAGTGACTGCAGAGAGGCTTCCGAGGGAGAGGAGGAAGCGACCAGCTTTGTCTAGCTGTTCCAGGACAGGAGGACAGGCATTCTTTCCGATGGACAAGTCCAGTCATTGTCTTGAGGTCCAGTATGCTTGGCGTCAGTGACACCTTTGCCCCCCAATTCGTCGTCACCCACAGTCCTTGAGGACTTTTACTCACATTCTTGTTTATTTCTTCATGAGATAGTCTCTGGTAGCCCAGGTTTGCCTCAAACTCATCATAAAGCAAAGAGTGGCCTTGAACTCAATCCTCTGGCCTCCACTAAGTCCTAGGACTAAAGACGTATGCCACCACACCTGGCTCCCCAGTTTGGTTCCATATATCTAAAGAAAACTCAAATGCACTAACCCAGAGGACCTGGGTTTGATTCCCAGCACCCACATGGCAACTCTCGACTGTCTCTTACTGCAGAGCCAGAGGATCGAATGACCTCTTCTGGCCTCCCTGGACAACAGGCAAGCACATAGTGGACAGATCCACATGCAAGCAAAACACTCACACACATAAAAACAATTTTAAAAGAAATACTTTGTATATAAAACAAAACTCATGGGGTTGATGGTGTACACTAGCAATGCCAGGTGTCAGTGGGTAAAGGCCCGAGGACCAGGAATTCAAGGCCAGTTTCAACGTACATCAAGTTCTAGGTCAGCATGAATAACATGAGACCTTGTTTTAATTAAAACAAAACAAAGCAAACTCAGGGCTGGCAAATGGCCCCGGCTACCAAGCCTGGGACTCACATGGCGGAAGGAAAGAACTGACAGAATCTTGGGCAAGTGTGGTTGCACACGTCTTTAATCAGAGCACTCGGGAGACAGAGACAGGAGAATCTCCGAGAGTTCAAGTCCAGCCTGGTCTACATAGTGAGTTCCAGGACAGCCAGGACTCTTTAGAGAGACCTTGTCTCAAAAAGAGAGAGGAGGAGGGGGCAACAGAAACAAAACCCCTAAAACACCTAACGGCTTTGCTCCTCCGTGGAGACATCTATCAAACGTGCTGTAGAAACTGGAATCTTTATTCTAGTTCAGTCTGTCTACAGGTGGAGCTAGGGTTTTACGGTGTCTTTTTTCAAACACAGAGCTACTGCTGTAAACCAAAACTATGAAACAGAAATAAGCTAATATTTTAAAGAGAAGTGTTTACCGAAAATGTTCAAACGGTCGCACAAGAAATTCGTCCTTTAATTAGCAAATCTCTGATAAACAGATGAAGCAAAGGTTTAGGGACTAAGCACGTTTCCCTCCCGGTAAAAAGCGCCAGGGCTAGAACGCGGCCGCGTGGGGGCGTCGGGCGGGAGCGCCACGCCCCTGGCCGCAGCCCCGCAGCTCGCGGTACGGGGCGTGGCCTTGGTCAGGAGGGGCGGGGCGGGCGCAGAAGTGGGTGTGTCCGGGGCGGGGGCGCGCAGGTCGGAGAAGGTGCGACCGTCCGGGGCCGGGGCGCCCGGGCGCCGGGGGAGAGGTCAGGCTGGCGGGGCGCCGGCGTGCGACGGCGGGACATGGCGGCGGGCGGCAGGCTGGAGGACGTGAGTGAGGCGCCGAGCCCTGTCCCCGCCATCCCCGCTTCCTGTGCCGGGCTCAGGGGGCGGAGACTACGGGCTGGGAGCTACCCTGAGCCGCCGCGGCCTGGACCCGAGGGGGACGCTGGGGGGACGGGGTGACCTCCGGGCGGGGACCGCAGCCCCGGACGCCTTTCCGGGTGGAAGTCGGAGGGACGGCGGCGGGGTGGGCGCGAGGGTCCCTTCAGTCGGCGGCTCACGTGCGGCGCGCGTCGCCGGTTCCGGAACTGGGAGCTTCGCGTGACGCGCGCTGGCCTGACAGGCCTTCCTGCGAGGGAGTGACAGGCTCGCAAGCCCCCCGGTGAGCCCGACTCCCGTGGGCCCTCGGTGGTGGCTGGAGAGGGCCGGGGACTGGAGTGGCTGCGGTTCGGGGGGCTGAACTCCAGCATCCCTCGGGGACGACCTGTAGCTCTCATCTCCCCGAAACCCAGATTGGAGAACAACAGTATCACGTGCTGTTTTGAATGTAGGCATGGTAGAAACAGAAAGATGTTTTAATCTTGGATGCAAATTTGACTTTTTTTTTTTTTTTTTTTTTAAGAATCCGGTGGCCCAGTTCATGGTGTAGCCAGTGTAGACCAATTGCAAAAATCTTGTTTGAAAGTTTATTAAGACAGTGTGATTAAACGTTTATTTGAAACCGGGATGGGAGGGGGGGACACTTTGGAAGGAAACACGCGCTTGAAAATTCCAGCCCTTGAGAAAGACAAAGCTGACATTATGTTAGCACACTGCCCTCAGGTAATAACTAATAAGAACATTACCGTAGTCTTAGTGCTAAATTACATTTAGAAAAGCAAGGTTCTAGAACTATCTATCAGAGTTTAGATTCTTGTGTACTGGTTCCTGCAGTCATTTGTTTTAGACTTGCTATGTAGCCCTAGCTGGCCTGGTCTATTATGTAGCCTAGCCTGGCCTCAAATTTGCCGAACTATTCCCTGACTTGACTTCTTCAGTGCTGGGATAACGGGTGTACCTATCACACTTAACTAAATTTTCTTGATGAAATAAATAAATATGTGTTTAACATTAAGACTAAAAAATAAATCTAGTTTCAGTTCTTTTAAGTGAGAAAATGGAAAACTGATTAATACATGAAAACTTCAGAGTCATGTATATTTAAAGCAAAACCCATTGTTTTTGAAATTTTAAGAGTTAGATTTCAGGGACTGGCCATTATGGAAGAAATAAATATGTCAGAGGAAAATAAATGGTTTAGAAAACCTTAAGCAGCGTTTCTTAGTTGGTGCTACACTACCCTGGAGTTCTTGGATAGGTTAGTTTCGGGAGTACAGTCCTAGATATTTCAACAAGCAATTGGTGATGATTATTTCACCAACAGTTAAACAGCTGAATTACCGTGGACCTGAGTAGGTTGCCTGCTTTTGGTATTTTGTAGATTAAAAAAAAATGTACATTTAGTAAGCTGAATACATGGACTATGTTGCGAGCCCAGGGACTTAAGTGCGTTGGTGAATGAATGGCTCATTTATTAAAGAAAGGACTTGGTGCTGGTTTGGATTAATTAACACCCAGGCCTCTACAAGTTCCCAAATGAGGGCAGCTCAGTGTGTCTGAAGTGATAGGAGTCATTTTCGAGTCTACACTGGGGTGACTGCAGCTGTCACCTTACCTAGTGTCCGTCTTTCCTTTGCCCCTCATGTGGAAAGCAGACTGGACAAAGCATCTTTTGTTCTCTGACTATTCTCAGACCAAGAGAGGGAGAGGAAGAATATTTTAAAGATATTGCCACAGAGTTTTTGCTTTATTACAGGTTCACACTACGTAACTCAGGCTCACAGTGATCTTTCTGCTGAGGCTTCCTATTTGCTGGGATTACAAACAAGCATGGCCACGATACATGGGTCCCAGTAAGGCTTAATGCAACATCATCATTGGGTCCCCAAAGGAAGCAGTTACTGAAAAAAAACAAAAGTCAAAAATAGTATCTGAGCCAAAACAATAGGTGAATTCTTGGGTAGTACTTCACTCTAGTTTAAGTAGTTGAAATGGATTGGGCCTACTTGTTAGAGTTCTCACTTGCCTAGCTTGCTCATAGCCCTGAACTCAGCCCTTAGCACCACCACATAAGCCAGGCATGGCCACACACATCTGTAAGCCCAGCTCTAAGGAGATAAGGGCAGGAGAGTCATAAGTTCAAGGCCAGCCTTGGCCTTAGAGAGTTGTAGGCCAAGATTGAGGAGATGAAGGAATAATTTTGGGGTTATGAGGATGTAGCTCAGTGTCAGAGCATTTGCTTCACATGCAGGAGGTCCTAGGTTGGGAAAAAAAATTTTTTAAAGCAGACTTGTAAGAAGACAGGAAAAAACGGGACTAATGATAGTAGATCGAAAGTGATTCAGAAACAACACAGAAATAGCTAGAAATGGCAAAGAGAAAATCAGACTTTTCTACATGTACAAAAGCTTGAAGTTGACCCAGCTTCACTTGTCAGATGATGAGCTGGGACTGAGTCAGGGAGACTGTGATTGATCGTTTGTTGTGACAGGTGTGGTGGTGGTGGGGAACAACTGGAACAGAGAGGGCAGGATCCCTGGGCCTGAGGAAGAGGAGTGCTGACAGATAAGGCCAGGAGAGTAGAACCCTGCTCTTCCGTAGCTCAGCTAGCCGGATGAATTTGGGCTCTGTCCTGAGGGTAATAGGGAGACATAGGTTTTGGGAGGATAAACTCTGGACAGCAGTGAGGAAAATTCCTGAGGCCAGGATACAGAAAGGTGCTTAAGAGAAATGTTAAGAGCCTGGGTTAAGACACAGTAGGATGTATGTTAGAAATACCAGGCAGGCTATCTATAAAGAACAGAAGAATAACATGAGTTAGTAGAAGGCTGGACTTTATCTCAAAGACAGAGCCCTGGTCTAATTTGGAAGGCTTAGTTCCATCCTCCGTGCCACAAAATAACTAGTTGGTTAAATAATAATCAAATCCCAGAACCTAGGAGGTGAAGATCTCAAACTCAAGACTAGCCTTCAACACATTTTGAGATCCTGTCTTGAGGCCCCAAAATATGAGCCTATTTCCACCTTGTCTGAAGGTCAGAGAGTTTGAAGTTGCTCAATTGTTAACAATCAGGGCTACACATTCTGAATCAGGATGTGGTTACTTGGTTCTTTTGACATGAAGATGGTCATAAGGGGAGATCCATTCCATCCTGACAGATGGTCAGGATGTGCAAGCGCACTTCTGCTCCTTTTGTAATATGAGTTTCCTGGTGAGTGGCTGCCTTCAGGATACTTGGTCTAGAGAGGCTTCACTGTCTAAACAGAGTTTGATGTCTCAAAATGGTTAAAGCAATTAACTGTTCTCGTCCTTTGTATCGTGTTAAAGCAGTCTTTTGTTGCTTTCTTCCTCCTTTTGTATTAGGGTATAAAAGCATATGGAAAATTAAACGCAGACAATTTCAGTATTTACTGGAACGCCCTCCTGGTACTATTCTATGTTTTTCTGTTTGATTATTTTTAAGTGTCTTTACTAATATTTCTGATCCCCACATCCCTACTCTGGCAAGAGGTGTTTTCATCTAGGCCGGTCCCTGACCGTGTCTCCAAAAAGGGGGGGGGGAGAGTTGATAGAGGCCAGGCACAGTGGTGTGGTACCTGTCTTTAGTCCCAGAATTTGGGAGGCAGAAGGAGGTGGGTCTATGAGAGCTTAAAGCAAGTCTGGCTACCTAGTGAGTTTCAGACAAACAGGGTTACCTTGATTTTTTTTTTTAATATAATGACTCTGAGTGGTGGTGGCACATAGCTGTAATCCCACCACTCCTGTAGCAGAGGCAGGCAGATCTCTAAGTTTGAGGTCAGCCTGGTCTACAGAGTGAGTTCTGGGACAGCCAGGGCTTCAAAGAGAAACTAAAAGAGGCTTTCAAAGAACCAAAGCTAAAACAAAATAAAGGCTCACTTATTGACTGCTCAGTCAGTGCCTGTTCTTAGTGCTGTACTAAGTGGTTTTTGTGTAGTAACCTATTTAATCTTCCTACTCAAGATTGGGCACAGGTGCTATTATTAGTGGCTTTTTTAAAGAGGAAGAAACTGAGGCTGGAGAGGTTGCTTGTTGGTTAAAAATGCATGTAGTTTTGCAGAGGCACCAGGTTCAATTCCCAACACCCACATCCCCTGCATCACGATGTTTTGTAACTCCAGCTCTAGGGATTCTGTCGCCTTCTGCTGGCCTCATTTGACACTAGCATGTATGTGGTATGCATACAAACCTACACATAAAATGAAAAGTAAATCTCAAAAGGAAAGCAAAAACCAAAGATGAGGAAACTGAGAAATAGAGATGTGATGCAACTTACCCACCGCTGGTACGCAATAGGACTTGAGTTTTATCTCAGTTTAACTTTTATCCAGAGCCACAGCTCTTACCCTCTCTAGTCTGGGTTGGCCCTGCCTCCCTGCGTTCTTATTGCTTTTCCCAATGAACGATTGATGCCTGTGAGTGAGTTGTGAAAACCCACAAAAACAGATGTGGAACACATATTGATTCATGCACTAGTGTTTGCTGAATATGCTCCTAAGACAGACAAGCAAGAGGTGGGGAACTGGTAAATCCCATATAGTCTACCAGGAATGGTAGATAAATAGGAAGGCCTTGGAAGAAATAATAAAGGAGGAGCAAAGATTGGTCATTATTGGATAGTATGACAGGGAAGCTACGCATGATGCTTTGGACACCGAGACATGACATGCTCCAGATCTCAGGTGTCCAGGAAGGCTCCCTGGGTGGAATTTCCCCATCAGAGCCTATAGGCGTGCTCAGAGGTGAGGGGCAAGTTGCCAAGGTTCCATGTCCTTCAGCTAGAGAACATGCTAGAGAAGGGTACTGAGAATAGAAACAGCCAGCATTGTAAGCCAGCCTGGTGATACGTGCTTGCTATCCCATTACTCAGAGGCAAAGGCAACAGGCTCGCCACAAGTTGAGTTGAAGTCAGCAAGTTCTTGGCCAACCAGACCTCCCTAGAGAGACCTCCCTCTCAAGACACAGAATCATCAGAATTATACCACAGATTGTGGCAAATAAAGTGGAAGCTTCCAAGTAATGTTAGTTGTATGGTACAAAGGGTACCAAAGTGAGCAACACCCCAAATCTGGGTTATACTTTAGATTTCCACATTTAAATTTAGTACAGCTTATTGAACCCAGGACCTCACACATGCTAGGCAAGAGATCTACTGTTGAACTGTTTTCATCCCTCATATTCCTTTATTCTGTAAAATGAAGTGTGTTTGTGTGTGTGTTAATTTATTGTATCTGTATGAGTATTTGGACTGTATGCTTGTATGTGTACCATGTACATACCTGAAGAAGTCATAGGAAAGTACCAGGTCCCCTGGAACTCAGGATCAGGAGTTACACTTGGTTGTGACCCACCATATGGGTGCTGGGAACCAAACTCAGGTCCTCTAGAAAAGCAACACGTGCTCTTAACTGCTGAGCTATGGCCCCACCCTTCCTTATTCTTATTGAGACAGGATCTCAGTAACTTGCCAGCCTTGAGCTCATTATGTAGTTCAGGCTAGCCTTCGATGGCCTCCACTCCCAAGTGCTGAGATAATAGGCAGGTGCCACTGTTCCATACATCGCAGGGTCTCCTAAGGGTCTGAGACTGAGATGTGCCTCGTTTGTGTGCAGAAGAAAACGGGAAGTGATGTGATTGCAGAAACATCACCTTTAAACATGACTGACTGGAGAGATGGCTCAGAGGTTAAGAGCATTGCCTGCTCTTCTAAAGGTCCTGAGTTCAATTCCCAGCAACCACATGGTGTCTCACAACCATCTGTAATGAGGTCTGGTGCCCTCTTCTGACCAGCAGGCATACACACAGACAGAGTATTATATACATAATAAATAAATAAATACTTTAAAAAAATAAATAAACATGACTGACATTTTTAGGTTACCACCCAGGACTCAGCTTCTGTTCGCTGCTTCAGTGACTGACAGCTAGACATTTTTGTGGAGACTGATTCCTACAACTGATGTCTCCTTAGGTTCCACTGGCTGATGATTCTGCTGGTACTTAGAATATTTCTGTTAAAATCAAAAGCTTGTTTTAGTCACTTTTGGGGGAAATGGGGTGGTGCTGGGGACAGACCCCAGTGTCTCACACAGGCTAGGTGAACGCTGACCACTGAGCTCCCCCTCTCCTGCCAGGCTCTCTATAAGGTATTCTTCATAAGGCTGATTTCCAAAGTACTGTGGGATAGCAGGCAATTTAATAATTGCATCTGTGGCCTAACGTGGTGGTGTGTGCCTATATTTCCAGTGGGTAGAGGCAGAAGGATCAGGAGTTCATATCTAGCTTCAGCCACATAGTGAGTTTGAGGCCAGCCTAGGCCATACATGTATGCCATGTATGACTTGATCACATCTACCCCTCATCCTCCCTGTGATTTCACTCTTCCCCCTGCATGGTTGTTCCCTTACCACCTTCATGTCCTCCTCCTCCTCCTCCTCCTCATTTTTTTTTATATAATCCACTGAGCTTTAATCTGCTGCCTGCCTGAACATGGGTGTGATGCCATCTACTTGAGCATGGTCAGTTTGGCAGCAGCCAAACTCCTGAACAAAATTACTTCCTCCCTCAGCAGCCACAATTGCTCCTTGGCTCGGGCGAGGCTTCCTAACTGTACATTTTGAAGGTTTAATGAAATTGGTTGAAACTGGACATGGTGGCATATACCTGTAACCTCAGTACTTGAAGTGTTTGGAGACGAGAGGATTGCCTTAGCACAGGAGTTTAGACCAGCTTGAGCAAAATAGGGAGGAAACCTTATTGCAGTTAAAACAAAACAGTGGGTTGCTTAAATTACAGCATGCATTACTTTGTTCTGGAGTTATAGAGATAATGGAATAGTTGAGCATGGTGCTGTACATTTTAAATTCTGGATTCCAGAGGCAGAGGCACATGGATCTCTGAGTGTCAGGCTAGCCTAGTTAGTCTACATAGTGAGCTCTAGGACATAGAGGGCTATGGAGAGAGACCCTATCTCAAAAAAAAAAAAAAAAAAAAAAAAAAGGAAAGAAAAAGAGAAAAAAATGAAACAAACTACTTCTATGGGGCTAAGTGTAGTGACACACCTTTAAATCCCAGCCCTTGGGATGTAGAAGTAGGTGGATTTCTTTGAATTAGAGGCCCTCTTGTCTACAGAGCAAGTTCATTCTAGCCAGGACTAAAAATAAAACTAAATAGGGAAACCCTGTCTTTAAGGGGAAAAAAAGTTCTTTCATTACTTGGAAAGCATGAATAGGAAGCCAATCTGGCCTACATAGTGAGTTCAGAGTTCAGCATGGGGTATAGTAAGTAGAAGGCCCTGTCTCAAGCCAGGCTTTGTTGTACACAACTTTAGTGCCAACACTCAGGAGCCAGACACACCTCTGTGAAAGATTCTGTTTTAATAAAAGTTTTACCAGCTGGGCAGTGGTGGCACACACCTTTAATTCCAGGCAGAGACAGGAGATCTATGTGAGTTCAATATCAGCCTGGTGTAGAGTGAGTTCTAGGACTGCCAAGGCTACACAGAGAAACTCTGTCTCCAAAAACAACAAACAAAAGTAAACAAGACAAAATTTTGACAAGTCATAGGAAATTAACCTAAAGGGAGGTAATTTTTCAAAGTTGAGTTTAGGTGGGGTCTGTTCTGCCTCTGATGTGTGCAGTATTTTCTTTTGTTGTGTGTGGTGCTAAGGCATAGGAGCAAGGACCTCATTCGTTTTGTGTGTTGTAGAAGATCTCCACCGCGAAGTTACTCCCCAGGGGTTTTTTGTTTTGTTTTTGTGGTGCTGGGAACCAAACCTATGGTGTTACATATGCAAGGTGAGCACTCAACTTCTGCACTATAGCCCCAGCTGATTTTGTTGTGCTCAGTATCCTAGGTTGCTATGAGCTTAACATTCTAGATTATTGTTTTAGCCCAAATACTGAGATCACAGTTGTGTGCCACAAATAACACAAAAATCATCCAGGGTTAAAAAGTTCCAGGTGTGACGGCTTCTGTCTGGAACACAGCATTCAGGACTGCTGTAAGTTGAAGGTTACCACGTGCTACACAAAGTTTCTATGGCAGCCTTTACAGTAGAAGATCTCAAATAACCCAAAATGTTCATTGAAAATAAGCTGTATCAGTTGTGTCTTAGAAACATGATCCAGAATCAGTCATGGTGTTTCGTACCGTTAATCCCAGCACTCAGGAGGCAGAGGTTCGAGGCCAGCATGATCTACTGGGTGAGTTCTAGGATAGCTAAGGCTAAACAGAAAAACTCTTTATTGTAAAAACAAAAGAAAGGAAAGAGAAAAAGAAACATGGCCCAGAAAGTCTTGGCTATAACGTGTATGTTTTGCCGTACAGGGGTCCTTGGATGTCCTTCAAAGTCTGGATGATGACCCCCTTCTGGACACCCAGCCTCTTGCACACCACTCCTTACGTGCTCACTTTAGACCCAGATTCCATCCTCTTCCCACGGTCATCATCACGAATCTTCTGTTGTTTATACATGTGAGTTCACTGCAGAGCTAGTGTTCCTAAAACACACGAGCGAGTAGGGGGAGAGATGATCCAGTCATAAGATGCTTGAGGATCTGGGCACATCTCCAAAAGCTATGTGAAAACCTGGGGGTGGAGGAGCACACACCCAACAATGGGGAGGTGGAGACAGGAGGAACCCTGAGACTCTGTGGCCAGCCTAATCTGCTAGGAGGTGACCCCAAACCATCCTCAGAGACTCCAACTCCAGATCAAAACAACAAGGTAGATGTCTCCCAAAGAACAGCACGTGTATTGTTCTCTGACCCCAGGTGCATGCTCATGTGCACACACGTACAGTGTATGAGCTCTGTGGGGGCATTTGGGCTGTATCTATCAGTTTTTCCAAATGTAAATAGTTTCATACAGATGCAAAGAGTTTACTGTAGAGATGTTGGCACATGTGTAAGGGCATTCTTAGTGGCAGTGGGATTGTCACACAAGAAATCACGAGGTCCCTGGTGTTCCTAGGACCACTGCTTCTCTTCCAGCATTCCAGACTAGCTGGTCCTTGAGCAGAAACATTGACTGCCTATAACAGGGTCGAAGGAGAGAAATTGTCCTCTGGTGTCTACATTCCTGCTTGAGCACAGTGCTCACACACAAGCACAGTAAATCCATGAGTAGAGCCAGGCTTGTTGGCACACGCCTATAATTTCAAGCTCATGGAAGGCAGAGGTGGCAATCTCTGAGTTCAAGGCCAGCCTGAGCTACAAATCAAGTTCAGGCAGGTCAGAGCTGTATAGGGAGACCCTGTCTCAAAAAAAACAAACCTGTCTGTAATGTTGATAATTAGCAGGCAGAGGCAGGAAGATCAAAGTTAGAAGTCAATCTGGCCTTCATAGGAAGGCCATAGTATTTGCTAATTTTATATACTAACTCATTCATTAATGTGTGTGCAGATCCATATTAATGTTAACTAATTGAATCTATATTTAATACTCTGTCCCTCCCTTTCTAAGTTCCCTGTTCATCAGGCTACACTAGAGGTAGACTCTGCCCCAGAGACCGGCTCCAGGAGACTGGTGAGGTTCAGGAGAGCAGGAGAGCTCTGCATTCACTGACTGCTCTCCCTGTCTCCTGAGATCCCCTGCTCCACAGCTTCTTCACCTTACAGGGTCGTGGCCTCTGTTCAGCTCAGCAGAGCCCAGCGTCTGGGCCAGTCGGTGATAATGTCTTCAAGGACTTGGACGTGCACATGGAATTCTTTCTTTCCCTTAAATCAAGGTCTCAGTTTGTAGAACTCTGAGACCTACCTAATGCACATACTTTCATTAGTTCTTAAGAACATTTTATTTAATCCTGTGGTGGGGGAGGAGAATTGTAGATGTCCTTGGAGGCTAGAAGAGAGGTTCTGACCCCTGGGGCTTAGGTCAGAATCCTCAGTGGGTGCGGGGGACTGAACCCTTCCTGTCCTCTGCCAGAGCTGTTTGCACTTAGTGCTGAGCCAGCTCTCCAGTCCTCAACTGCTTTTGAGGTAACTGGCACTTTCATATCTGACATTTGATCGCCCAGGCTGACATCGAGTTTTCCATCCTCTTTAGTGCTAGGGTGGCAGGCATGTGTCTCTGTGCCCAGCTTCCCCAGTTTTTCAGAACGCTTTCAGTAAAACATTTTTTCTTTTCTTTTTCTTTTTGGTTTTTAAAGGCAGGGTTAATGTGAATCTCTGGCTATTCTGGAACTCACTTTGTGTGCCAGCCTAGCCTTGAACTCATAGATAGCCACCTGCCTCTGCCTCCCTGAGTGCTGAGATTAGAGGCGTGCAATCACCGAGTATAATAAGTTTTCTAATCATTTGCAGAGTAGGGTAGCATAAGTCTAGGACATGGCACGTGCTGTTTTCTAACACAGGCATTTATGCTAATTTCTTTATTACATTGATAAATTACCTGGTGTGCATGCAGGGATGTGTGCCACAACACACAGAGAAGTCAGGACAACTCGCAGGGCTCAGTTCTCTTTTTCCACCATGGAGATCCTGGGAGTCAAACTCAGGTTGTCAGTCTTGGTGACAAGTGCCTTTACCCCCTGAGTCCTCTCACTCGCCCTGATGGCGACCTATGTATTTAACGTGAATCCTACTACTTTTCCTCCCACAGGTTGTGTTTGTCATTTTAGCATTTTTAACAGGGGTGCTGTGTTCATTCCCTGATCCCAATGAAGACAAGTGCCCAGAAAATTACACCAACCCACTGAAAGTTCAGACAGTCATAATCCTTGGAAAAGTCATCCTGTGGATTCTGCATTTGCTTCTTGAACGCTATATCCAGTATCACCACAGCAAAGTCAGAAGTCGCGGTTATTCCCAGATCTACAGGTCTACGAGGCATCTCAAAAACCTGGCCCTCATGATCCACTCTTCTGGTAAGCCCTGCATCTCACAGCTCCTCTTCGGCCTGAGTGCCAAAGGCGATAAAAAAAAATGTGAAATTAGATTTTATAATCAAACATATTCTCTCTCTTTAAATTTACTTATTTATTAAGCATGCATTGGTGTGAAGGTGTCAGATTCCCTGGTCCTGTACTTCCAGAATTTTGAGTTGACTTGTGGGTGCTGGGAATTGAACCCGGTCCTCTGGAAGAATAGCCAGTGCTATTAGCCGCTGAACTACCTCTCCAGTCCCCAAATGTATTCTCTTTTTGAGAGTGATCTATATTGTAGCTCCTATTCTGAATTTTTCTTTTGGTGGGAAGCATGATTGAAACCAAAACTTTGGGTATGCTCGGCAAGCTTCTACCACTGAGCTATGGCTCACCTACCTTTTGAAACTTTTTACAGTCTTTGTGGTCTTGAGATAGGATCTCACTTTGTCTTGTGTGGGATTTTTCAGCTTCTTTATGTAGGCATTTAGTGCTATGAACTTTCCTCTTAACACTGCTTTCATTGTGTCCCATAAATTTGGATATGTTGTGTGTTCATTTTCATTGATTTTTTTTTAGGAAGTCTTTAATTTCTCCCTTTATTTCTTTTTTGACCCATTGATGATTCAGGTGAGCATTGTTTAATTTCCATGTGTTTGTGGGCTTTCTGGAATTAGTATTGCTGTTGAATTCTAGTTTTAAGCCATGGTGATCTGATAAGATACTTGGGGCTATTCCAATTTTTTTTTATTTGATTTTGTTTTGTTACCGTGTATGTGGTCAGTTTTTGAGAAGAATCCATGAGGTTCTGAGAAGAAGGTATATTCTTTTATGTTTGGATGGAATATTCTATAGATGTCTGTTAAGTTCATTTGAGTCATAACATCTATTAGTTCCTTTATTTCTCTGTTAATCTTTTGTCTGACTGACGTGTCCGGTGGTGAGAGAGGAGTGTTGAAATCTCCCACTATTAGTGTGTGTAGTTTAATGGATGATTTAAGCTTTAGAAGTGTTTCTTTTACATATGAAGGTGCCCTTGTATTTTGGAGAATAGATGTTCAGTGTTGAGATTTCCTCTGGGTGGATTTTTCCTGTTACTAATATGAAATGTCCTTCTTTGTCTCTTTTGATTGATTTTAGTTTGAAGTCTATTTTGTTAGATATTAGGATAGCTACACCTGCTTGTTTCTTAGGTCCATTTGATTGGAATATTTTTTTTCCAACACTTTTACTCTGAGGCAATGTGTGTCTTTGAGGTTGAGGTGTGTTTCTTGTATGCAGAAGGATGGATTCTGTTTTTGTAGCCAATTGGCTAGACTGTGCCTTTTTTATAGGTGAGTTGAGTCCATTTATATTAAGGGATATTAATGACTAGTGATTGCTATCTCCTGTTAATTTAGTTTTCGTTGTTGCTGATGTTAATTTGTGAGTTTTTTCCTTTTTTTGGGATTTGCTGCTATGAGACCCTCAATTGTCTGTGCTTTTAGATGTAGCCAACTTCCTTGGGTTGGAGGTTTTTCCTTAGCATTTTGTGTAGGGCTGGATTAGTGGCTAGGTATTGGTGAAATCTGGTTTTGTCATGGATTATCTTGTTTTGTCCTTCTATGGTGATTGAAAGGAAACTCTTTAAGAGTTTCAAACATTCTCCTGTGGAATTTGTTGTTTCAGGCCAGCTCTGGCCCAGGTCACGGGCTCATTCCTACCTCTCTGGAGTTTTGTTGTCTCATGCCTGTTCTAGCCTAGGTCACTGGCTTAGTACTTTTCCTATGGAATTCGTTGCCTGAGGCCTGCTCTGGCCTAGGTTACAGGATCAGACCCGTTTCTGTAAATATCCTTGGTCTGGATCCTTTAGTGAAGAGGTCCCCGGCTTGGGGTTTTTCCCTGTAAGGGTCCCAGGCTCCGATCCCTTGGAGGTCCCAGCTTCGGGTGCGCCCAGACCCGGTCCCTCAGAGGTCCCAGATTCACGCCTGGACCCGCAGAGGTTTCTGGTTCCTGCGTACTCCCTTTGGCATCCCCAACCGCAGCCCACAGAGGTCCTGGCTCAGGCCTACTCCCTCAGAGATCCCAGACTCAGGCCTGGACCCACAGAGATCTCTGGTTCCTGCCTATTCACTTGGAGGTCCCAGACTCACGGCTTTGTCTACTTTTATATGGGACAAAAGTAAAGAATATTCTCAAGTAATGATCTAGAAATAATTGTTTCAGAATCTGGGAATACTAGTTTTGAAATTCATGAAGAAATTATTTGGTCTCTACCTTCTTAAAATCTGACCTTTAGCTAGGTGTGATGCAGCCTGAACCCTCACGAGGCTGAGGCAGAAGAATGGTCAGTGAATTCAAGAGTAGCCTATACTATGTTGAGGACCTAGCTCAATAAATAATATTTTCTCACATGTGCAAAAGAAATCAGTTTAATACTTTTATAAAACCAAGAAATGATTCCTTAGTTTTAAAACAAGATCAGATTGCAGCAAGTCTTCAACGTGGAGACTTAATATTAATTATGAAAGCTTGCTTAGGCTTGCTTCTAACTAGCTTTTATAGCTGAAAGTAACCCTATCTTTGAATCTATGTTCTGTTGTGTGGCTCGGTTACCCTTACTTTGTAATGCCCATGCTGCTTGCTCCACTTCCCCACAACACCCCCTTCGTCACTGAGTCCTCTGTGCCTGGGAATCCTGCCTAGCTATTTGCTGTTCGGCTTTTTATTAAAACCATCCGAGTACAGAAGGATTATTCTACAACATCACGTTCTTTGTTTTGGGTTTTTTTTTTTTTCCTGTTCTTGCTTTTGATACTGGAACCAAACCCAAGGCTTCAAACTTACCTGGCAAACATCTTCCAACTGAGGTAAATCGTTAACTCCTTGATTTTTGGAGATAAAGTCTCAGGTAGTCCAGAATGGTCTCGGATTTGCTACGTAGGAGTCATCCTCCTGTCTCTACCTGTTGAACTCTGGGGTTACAGGCCTGATCCTTGCTTTTTTGTAGTTCTGAGGATTTGAGCCCAGGCTGTCATCCATACAGGGCAAGCATTCTACAGGCCAAACTATCCAGCCTCCAGATTGTTTTTAAGAATTTAAGTTTCCAACCTTGTTGAAATAAGAGCGGCGGGGCTGCGTCCCCAGCACCCCAGCCGCCTGCTAGCTTATGCCCGAAATAACAACACACAAACTGTATTCTTTTAAACACTGCTTGCCCATTATATCTAGCCTCTTCTCGGCTAACTCTCACACCTGGACGAGCCCATTTCTAATAATTTGTGTAAGCACCCCAAGGTGCGCTTACCGGGAAGATTCTAACCTATGTCCATCTTGGGTTGGAGCTTCATCGCATGTGCCTCAGAGAGCAGAGCTATCGGGAGAGCAGAGCATGGCGTCTCTGCTCCAGGGAGCAGAGCTGTCGGGTCTGAGCTCACTTCCTCTTCCTCCCAGCATCCTATTCTGTTTACTCCTCCCACCTATGTTTTAACCTATCAGGGCCAAGGAGTTTCTTTATTGCTTAACCAATGAAATCAACAGATTGATATATGACACTCCCACATCACAACCTCTCAAACTTTCCCAAATGAGTTCAATAGGATAGAAGGCCAGGATCGAATTGCTGGTTGGTGGCTGGACCCACATTTAGGCTTTGTAGCTCCAACCCTTATTAGCATAAACACAGTTTTGACCTTCAGGGTGTGTTACAATAACAACACAGTTCTTTCCTTTAGAAAGTCACACGGGCTTTAGAATATTGGATAAGTAAGTACATAAGTAAGCAAACAAATAAATAATAAGGGCTTTAGGAAATTGGATATGTAAGTACCTAAATAAATAAATAAGTAAATAAATAAATAAATAAATTGTGGAGATCAAACCAAAAGGAATTTGCTCTGACAGGACTCCAGTATCCCATCCCTGCTGTCTCCCTTCCTTCCTTCCTTAGGCAACACAGCCCTCCTGCTGCTCCTGTGCCTGCAGCATTCCTTCCCTGAGCCCAGCAGCCTGTACCTGGAGCTGATTCTGGCTGTCCTGGCCCTGGAGCTGATTTGCTCCCTGAGCTGTCTGCTGCTCTATGCAGGTGAGAGTGGAAGCCACTGTCCTGTGACCTCTGCCTGCCTCTCCTGTCACTGCAGACACAGCTGTCACTTTAGTGAGCAGCCTACATTCGCTGAGGACTCCTTTAGCTCCTTTGTCTTTGACATCTGACCACTTCCGGTCTTCTGTGCTTCAGAGTAAGAGAAGAGACAACCACTTCCAGTGAGTCCATTTTCTCCACTCCTGTCAGTCACAGATGCTGGGAACCTTGAGCTGCAGAGGTGGCTCAGCATTGAGAGTCCAGACTGCTCCTCATCGGGTCAGGTGCTCACAACTGACAGTAAAGCCACCCCAGGGAACCCGGTGCCTCTGTCTTCCAGAAAGCACGGGCACACAGCCTTACACACACAATTTAAAAAGCTTTGAATAGGAAAGTATTTTCAGTTTACTGAAGTAAAACTTTCGCAGAAAACAAAACAACAAACGTCTTTCCTGTAAGGCGGTGGTTCTCAGCCTTCCCAATGCTGTGACCTTTAATACAGTGCCTCAGGTTATTCTGACCACTCAACATGAAATTACTTTTCTTACTACTTCATAAGTGTAATTTTGCTACTGTTGTGAGTTGTAATGTAAATATCTGATATCCAGGATATTTGACATGTGATCCCGTGAAAGGTCATGACCCACACTTTGAGAACTACTGCTATAGGGTAAACAATGTGACCCTGAATTTGTAGTCAAGTCCCTGCCTCTGCCTTCCAAGCTCTGTGATTATAGCTGAGTCAGCAAGTTAGGCCCTGCATGTATCTAAATTTGACATCTTAATGAAAAAGAATGACCAGGCCTAACGGCATACACATTCATTCCCAGTACTTGGAGGCAGACCCACATGGGTCTCTTGAGTTTCAGATCTACATAGTGAGACCCTGTCTCAAGAAAAAAAAAATGAGTATTCACTTCATGATGTGGTCGTGAGATTGGAATGATGTCATCCATCTAGGACAGTCAAGCTTGTGCCCCACGTGTTGCAAATGTCAGCTATTGTTGTTGTTATCTTGTTACTAATGATAATCTCAATGTTCCCTGAGACTTGCCCTTGCTTAGTAGACTTTGATATGTGTAACTGTGTTGATAAACCATTGTATTCAACCTTTTTCTCATTATGTAATCTCACATATATTACCTATTCAGAAAGAGTAACCATGTAGTATTACTTGATAAATAAGCACAGAAAATTCTTCAGAACTATGTAATCTAATTAAAAATGATTTTATTATTTCAGTGAAAATTAGCAGATTCAATAGAGCCAAACCACAACCTGATGTCCTTGAAGAAGAAAGAATGTATGCTCACCCCAGCAATATAGCCTCAGAGACTGGCTTCAGGTAAGGCTTGAAGAGGCAGCACAAATCAGAAAGCAGGAACTTTCCCTTCAGTCACCTGATGGTCCGTGTCTGTGATTCTGTCTACTTGGGATGTCATCAAGTGGGCATGGTGGATCCTTTGTCAGGACAATTTAGCAAAATCTTGACCCAAAATAATTTTTAGTAAGTTTTTATAAGGGCAGAGTATGTAGTCAGAGGCCCTTTGTATGAGTGTCCCAGTTCATCCCTAGTGTCTGTCTGTCTGTCTGTCTGTCTGTCTCTCTCTCTCTCTCTCTCAGACAGACACACACACACAAATACACAGAGACCTAGGAGACTCAGGTGGGAGGACCCCAAGTTTGAGGCCAGGAGGCAGAATTTTATCTCAGAAAAAGGAGCATTTTCTTCCCATATAACATTACACACTACTGTAATATTTTTACAGTCATAGTAGTTTTTGGTTTGGAAACAGGATCTCACTATGTAGTCCTGGCTGGCCTTGAACTCACAGAGCTCCCTTTCCTTTATCCCTTAAGAGCACAGGCATGAAAACTCCTAGATCTACCATGCTTTAAGGAGCCGTCAGTCCTGAACCATCAAATTGTTTGCAGTCTTTTTGTTATAAATAATATTCATTCAAGAACAAAACCCATATAAAAGTCAACATCAGCAAATATTGTTCCCATGAAAATGGAACTTTGTATATGAACAATAATGGGTGACCTTACCTTAGCTGTGAAAACTAATTGTAAGATGATCGTGTAGGTTCTGAATGTGGATTTAACATAAAACTGTAATATCAATTCACTGGATTGAGAGGATAGATATGTGGTATGAATATGGAATGGAGAAAATTAGGAACTAAACTCTGATTTTTGTCGTTTGTTTTTCTGGGGCTTGGAATCCTATCTCACTACAGGTTTGAGACTAGACTCTTGCTTGTTGTATTGCATGTAGCCCAGGGTAGACTCAGACTTTTGACTCTCTTCCCTTAGCTTCCTTAGTATTGGAACTCACTATGTAGAGCAGACTGGACTTCAACTCACAGAGATCCACCTACCTCTTGCTGTGTTCAGTGTAACCCCAGGGTGTGAGTTCAAACACAGCTGGAGTCACTTACAGCTGGATCCTGTATGATTGTATGTATGTATGTATCTGTGTATGTGTGTGTATGTATGTCTTAGAAGTTGCTAGCTATACCAGGCTGGCCATGAAGTCACAGAGATCTGCCTGCCTTGCCTTCCAGATTGCTGGGATTAAAGGTGTGCACCAAATGTTGACTTTACATGATTTTTTAAAAGTTCTTCCTTCTTTCCTTTCTTGCATCCTCCCTTTCTCTCTTCTCCTCTCTCTCTTTCCTCTCTTCTTTCCTTCGTTTTTGGTTTTTGTAGACAGTGTTTCTCTGTGTAGCCCTAGCTTTCCTGGACAGCTGCATCAGAGCAGTGGATTAAAGACTGTACTACCATCACCTGTCTCACTTAATGACTTTAAATTGTAAAAACCTCTTTTGTTTGTGTTTGTTTTCAAGAGAGTATTTCTCTGTGTATTTCTGGCTGTCCTCAAACTCACTCTGTAGACCATTCTAACTTAAAACTCATAGAGATCCCTACCTGCCTTTGCCTCCCGAGTGCTGTGATTAAAAACATCTGCCACAACCACCCAATTTAAATGATAAAACTTTAAACAATTTTACCAGGCCCAAAACTAGCCTACAAATAAATAAAAATGAAGACAATATGTGCAAAACACATTGATTTCCAGAGCAGGAGTCACTAATTTTATTCCTGAAAGACTGGTCTTGCAATATCCCTGATGTATGAACCTGAGGGAAAACTCTGGGCAGCTGTGCCTTACTGAGCGCTGCTGAGGACTCAGTCAAAATGAAATAAAATCGTGTTGATGAATCCATGTAACCTGTTTCTATTCTGATTTCTGCAGGACTATTTCAAGCCTAGAAGAAATTGTTGAAAAGCAGGGAGACATAATCATATATCTGAAGAGACACAACGCCCTGCTCAGTAAGCGGTTGTTGGATCTGGCCTCTCAGCCAGCTAGGACCTGAGAGACTCCTGGGTATGACAGCTATCAAATCCTCAGTTAACTCCAGACTGCCCCAAGTTACCTTCATGGTGTGTGATGGGAACATGAGCTCTGGGTGGTTACACACATCTGGGAAACTTGAGACTATTTTGTACGGTTTGAATAATTTAACTTCTTGGCTCTTCTGGAATCTAAGCTGTAGTTTAAGAACTATGGAATAATGTGGCTCTTTGTAAAGCAATTGTGCCATGACAGTGTGCTGTAAACAGTGTTTCAAACCAGTCCATTCTTGCCACAGTCAGCTGCTGAGAGAAGACGTCGTTCCTGGTGCTCCTGTTTTCTTCTGGAGTCTCACGGGCAGTTTTGTATGAGTGAGGGCAGATCAGGTGAGGGAAAGATCAGATGTGTTGTTGTTTTCTTGCTTGTTTGTTCTCCAGACCTGGGGGCGAAAACAATGCCTCACACAGAATGAGCAAACACTCTGCCTTTGAGTCATTTTTACCGGGATTTCTTTCTGCTGCTCATGGTGACTCACACCTGTAGTCCCAGCTCCTGAAAAGCTGAGGCAGGAGAATCACCACCAGCTTGAAGCCAGCTGATGTCTAGTACACAGAATGAGACCTTTCTCAAAAGCACAGATCACTTTCCTCAGTATAGGACCGATCTCACCAGGACATATGCGGTGCTCGTTCTGCTGTGTGTAGTTGAGAAATGAAGTGTGAAGGATCCTGGGGCAGCGGGAGACCCAGTGGAGAGGGGGTGACACCTGCTATGTTTGGAGAGCGCTGACTGGCAAGAGGTGTAAGAAATCATCTGTCATTTAGTGTATCGTTGCCCTTCTTCAGGGACTTGCCATAGATCCTTGTGCTACACTTTGATTTACAGCAACTTCAATTAGCTGAGCATGGTGGCCCACAGCTGTCATCCTAGTACTTGGGAGGCAGACACAGGAAGTTCAAGACTAACCTGGTCCAAATAATGAGTTTCAGGGCAGCCGAAGCTACAAAGAGACCCTTCTCCCCCTCGCTCCCCAAAAAGACAAATATATATGTCAGAATAAGGGTGTCTCTGAGTTAAAATTTGACCACATAGTGGCAGTAAGATGGTTCAATAGGAAAAGTGCTTGTTGGGTAAGGCTGATGACCTGAGTTTGAGCCTGGGAACCCATGGTGGAGGAGAAACCAACGCCTGAAATTTGTCTTCTGACCTTGAAACTCTCAACACGTTACTCTTGTGTGTGCACTGACACATATCACACACACATGTCACACAAATACACACAATACTACATTTCTTCATTGTCTAAATAGGAAAAGGACACTTTTTGGTCTTGCATTGTAGCTCCAAATTGTGATGGGTTTAACATGTCAAGTTGATGTATGTATAGGCATTATCAAACAGATAATAATTACAATGAAATGAACATTTTTTATGTGGCATTGTTTCTACTTTTATCCTACAGCTCCTTTTAATCAATTGGTACCTTCATGTGTCACCTTAGGAAGTCTTTGGTTTTTGAGATAGGACCTCATGTGGCTATGGCTGCCCTGGATTCTCTTGCTTCCTCCTTCAGTTGCTGAGATCATGGATATCAGGTGTCTATGCCTAACATAGACTTTTCACTGTGGGCGTCTGAGTGAGATCTCTGTTCTGAAGCCTGCTGTGTTTAGCCTAATACTCAACACTTTATTTGCAGAGCCAAACATAATTATATAGGGATAAGATGGATACCACCTGACAGGCCAGGACTATTCATTTGATCCTATGAACTCTTGCTTGTGGACAGTAAGTTCCTGTTTCCTTTAGATACAGCCATTTCTGGACAATCTCAAAGTTTTCCTCCTCCAAGATAAAAACACACATGTCTTCTGCTGGTAACACGGTTGGGTCTCCAAAAAGTAATAACATTCACATATTGAACTTACACAATTTCCAGGGGCTGGAAGGATGGCTCACTGGGTAGGTGCGCATATGGAGCTTGCAGAAGATGGAGTTCAGTTCCCATAACCTGGTTGCCATTTCTTTGAATATGAATGAAATTGGTTCCTATCCCAATCTGTGACCTTTCATGACTCTTTTGTGACGTGCATCCCAAATCCTTTGTTCATCTTTCTCCTGGGATATTCTTGTGTGACGTTTTGGTTCTTGTTTCTTGAGGCAAAGTCTCAGATAGCCCAGGCTGGCCTCAAACCCTGTGTACCCAAGAATGACATGGAACTTCTGATGCTTGCACCTCTACCTGTAAGTGCTGGGTATATAGGCATCCCCTTCTTTAACCCCTTCATGGAACAGGAATTGAGCTCAGTGCTTCCTCCATGCATGCTCCCAACTGAGCTTCACCTCCAGCCTCTTATTCTTTCTTTTTTCTTTTATGGTAAATCTTTAACATGCTTATTTTTAATTTAATATCTTTAATACAGTTAGTGTTTAATTTTGTGCCTCTGCACAGAATAAAATTTCTTAAAATATATATTCCTTATTTTATTAAATGTTAATCTAATAAACATTTTTCTTTTAAATAGGTTTCAATTTTACTATGTTTGCATGTATGTTTTACCTGCTTATATGCCTGTGCAGTGTGTATGCCTGGTGCCCATAGAGACCAGAAGAGAGCATCAGATCACTGAGAACTGGAATTACAGGTTGGGAGCCATCATTAAGTGCTGGGGATGAATCCCAGGTCCTTTGGAGAAGCATCAAGGCTCTAACCACCGAGCCATCACTCTGGCCCCAGGACACTGATTCTTATCTCAACTCTACTGCTCCAAACATTTATGTTTTACCTTGGCAGTCAGAGACCTTTCTTTTTGTACATTATTGGTTTTTCGAGACAGGGTTTCTCTGTGGTTTTGGAGCCTGTCCTGGAACTAGCTCTTGTAGACCAGGCTGGTCTCGAACTCACAGAGATCCGCCTGCCTCTGCCTCCCAAGTGCTGGGATTAAAGGCGTGCGCCACCACCGCCCGGCTAATTGTAAATTATTGTTGTATGTTATGTGTTTGGTGTTCTGCCTGCATGTGTGTCTATGTAGCGTGTGCGTATCTGCTTCCTGAGACGGCCAGAGAAGGCATTTAATACACTGGAACTGGAGATACTGAGGGTTGGGTCATCATGGCGTTGCAAGGAATTGAACCAGGGTCCTTTAGAAAAGCAGCCAGTGCCCTTTAACCACCAAGTTAGCTGACAGCCCCAGAGAGCTAAACCACACATTAGGTCATATTCTTGTACACATGATTCCTTGTCAGAGAGGCCTGACAGAGAAGGGCCTTAGAAAATCCACTCCTCTTCCCTCTCCACAGGTTCTCCCGGTTCTCTGCCGGCTCTGCTTGGATCACCTTCATGTTCTCACTGCTGTTGCCTCAGCGCCTGCGCACCTGTTTCTCCTGGGCCAGCATGGTCAACTCACGTATTCTTTCCTTCCCGTGTGTCACTTTCTGAGGAAGCCCCTCTAAAACTGCAGCCATGTATCATGAAGCGGTGGCTCTGCCCATAATCCCAGCATTGGGAAGTGAAGGTAGGAGGACCAAGTTCAGGGCTATCTTGGTTATACATGGAATTCAGTCAGCTGGGACTACATGACACCCCATCCATAATAATAACCACCTGCGGCCTTGGTGTTGCTCCACAGCTCAGGGCCTAGTGTTTGCCTAGAGCATTAAACTTCAAAGTTGGACTCTTCCCAGCATCACCCAATCAGCCTTCAGTCCAAACCACAGCCTCCTGGGAATGCTGGTGCATGCTCACCCTCCAGGCTGGGGCTGTCCCCAGCACCTGTGTCAGGTGGCTCACACTGCCTGCTCTACATCCAGCTCAGGGAATCTGACAGCCGCTTCTGTCCTAGCACATGCAGGCATGTAAACACACACACACAGAAATCAAAAGAAATCTTTTGTAACAAAAGAAATCCACAGGGAACTGGGCATGGTGTCTAATTTCAGTAATCCCAGCGCCCAGGAAGCTAAAAGACTGCTGTGGATCTGAGGGAGACCCTGTCTCAAAAACATCCTAACAAATCATCTGCTAGCCCAGCCTGTTCCCGGGTCTGTAATATCAAAGTGTGGAGAGTCCAGAGCTGGCATCCTCCTCCACTGTAGAGTGACTCAGAGGACAGCTTGCAACAACAGAAGACGCTAATTGGTGCTAACTTAAAATGGGACTTTTTCACCTCTGCCCAGCTCCTGACAACCAAGCTGGAGACAGAACCTTTGGAGCAAAGAAAGAGCTGGAGAATTGGGCCTTAGAGGCAAAGAAAAAAGGCAGAACACCCAGTGCGTGAGTATAGCTATTCATGGCCTCAGAGGTGCTCTGCGGGCATTTACTGCATGAGGACACATGCAGTACATGTGTCCTCACATTTCTACATTATTTTTATGTGTGTGAGTGTTTTGCCTGCATCATGTATATGCACTAGAGGGAATGTCTAATCCCTACAGTGGCCAGAAGGGGGCATCTGATTCCCTGGAACTCAAAGTTTAAGGAGAGAACCAACCCCAGCAAGTTCTCCTGTGGCCTTCACTTGACTGTCATGGCACAGGGCCCACCCATAAACATACACATAAATGTGATTTGAATGAAAGGAGATTTCTGGGCTGTAGTGAAAGCTCAGTTGGTAGACAGCCTGCTTGCCTAGTAAGCATGAGGCCCTGGGCTCTCTCCACAGTGCCTACAGCTCAGGATGGTAGCACAGGCCTATAATCCCAGTACTAGGGAGATGGGACCAGGAAGTACAAAAATCCACTAATCCACCCCTAACCCCCCAAAGAAAGAAACCAGATTCTCCTAATTCTGCCTCCTAAGGACAGAAATGAGCCATGAGCCACCAAGCCTGGACATTTAAGAATTACGTAGAGGGGGGAATGGAGCAGTAGGGCTGCTCCCCTGAGGTGCTGAGTTCAATTCCTACCACCCTCATGGTGGATGATAAACATCTATAGTGGGATCTGATTTCTTCTGGCATGAAGGCATACATGCAGACAGAGAACTCATATACATAGAAACAATAAAGGAATATTTATTTAAATGAGAGAATGAAGTAAAATCTGAGAAGAAAGATTAATAGCTACAAATCCCGAGGATAGAGTCATTTTCCTTTATTAAAATTTAATGGATAAAATCAGTATATTCATGGGAACTTTGTCACATTTCAACATGAAGTGTTCAACTATCAGGTGACAACTACCTTTTCAACAGTGTGTCTCCCCTCTGGTGACATCATCTCAGATTCTCTCACCCAGCATTTTCCTCCTCTCCCTTGTTTCCCTTCTCTACCATGAACCAATCAGGGCCTGAGAAGGCTCACAGGGTAAAAGTGCTTCCCATTGCAGACCTGATGACCTCAGTGCTGAAGGCAATCCAGGGCCATGGGATGGAGGAAGAGAAGTGACCTCCATACCCTCAACTGTAGTCAGTCTGTCTGTCTGCCTATCTGTGTCTACCTGTCTCTGTTACATATACAAACACACAAATTTTTAAAAATTGGTTAAAATGTGCACAAAAAAATATTTAGCCTGTAGTCCCGGCTACTGGGGAAGGAGTGTGAAGGGTGAGAATAACAAATTCAAGGGTAGCCTGGACACCCTGACAAGACAATAACAAGATACAACGGGGTCAATGCTGTGAGCTCAATGCAGATCACCTGCACAGGAGATCTAGGCCCTGGACCCAATCCGCAGTGCTGGATCTGGAAGACAAGGGGAGAAGAAAAGGGAGGGAAGGAGGGAAGAATGGAGCCAGGAAGATGGAGGGAGGAGGCTAACACTGATGATCTGATTACTAAAATGAAAACTTGGGAACAGTTTTAAATGTTTTAGAATTCTGCAATTGTTAATGCAGTTGCTTATGAATATTGCAGGAGTTTCTGAGATTCTAAAAAAAAATGAGGTATCTTCAAGAACAAATTTGAAAGGCTGGGCATTTGCGACTCACGGTAGCTGAGCAGGAATCCAAGGTCAGCCTCAGGCTTGAACCAAGTTTGAGGGCAGCCTAGACTGCATAAGACCCTCTCAGATATAAAATAAATAAATATATTCTTAAAACTCCCATCCCATTCTGAGGTGCGATGGGCCTGTGATACAGGGCTGTGATTCGAGCCACTTAGATGTGCTGAGCCAGAAGAGGCTGCAGAATTAGTTAAGGCTAGCCCGGATTACTCCCCAGGACAGTCTCTAAGATGACAAGAATGTGTCTGACTCAGTATCCATCATGTGCTAGGCATAGGGTTTAATAACAAAACTTCTTTCAGATGTAAGACACAGAAATTAAAAACTACACCTGTTGCGCGATCCATGGCTGTAACCATGTACAGGAAGCGAAGATAGGCATGTTGACAGGAGTCAGCCTGGACAGCCTAGCAAGCTCCAGGCCCAATCTGGGCGACACAGAACTTGCCTTGAAAAAAGATAAATGAATAAAAGAGAATGTGGGTACAGCACTCACACCCATAATGCTATCAATGATGTATAGTCTTGTCTGCAGCTGTACAACCTTGGCGATCATCTGGGATGGGAGCAAGGAGTATGGAGCCTGAACTAAATGTCAGAGTTAAGACCACCTGTGGGTTTTCGCC